CCCCCCCTCTCACCCTCCTCTTAGCGTCACTGCCTTTGTAATGATCGCATATTGTAGTTGAGGACAGCTGGCAGGTCAACATTCTTTTATTTGGTTGGCATGTATCTCATCTTGTGATTATTCAACTTTTTTGTTTTTTTGTTTTTTCATGCTTTATTTTGTTAAAGAAGGTGGGTGTATATGATTTGCATTTGTATCGAACTCCAATATAAGTAATGAAAAGTTCCATCATTTGAAAACGTATGGTTTCATATTCTTTGTAAGAAAGACCAATTTTCTTTCATTGTTAGGCTGCTCATTCCCTTCATTATATATTGAAGGAGATGAACCAGCCATTAATGTAGTGTACATTTTATGCTTTGTTGGATGTTTCGGTAGTGTAAGTTCACTTCAGATATGTACTTAAAGAAATGGATTGCGTTGTTACAAAGATATCTTCTTCAGGTCGTTTTATCTTGATCTTACTTTACGCGTACACAATGAACAAAGATGTTTACGTTGCTTCCCCATTCCAGCTATTCATTGCTGAATAATTTTCCCGAAGGAAACTACACAAAGCCAAGGACCAACTGGCTCAATGAACAAGGGTGCATGAACTTTTGCAGTGCGGCAATATTCCCTCTTTTCATTTTCTTCTTCTTTCCCTCTTACCAAACACACAATACCAAGGAACAAGGGGTCAGGTTTTGGTTTGAAAATTTTACCCACCCTTCCCTAATTATTTAAAGTTAAAACCCATGACCATTAGTTTTGCCAAAATCAAAGTTTGCTTTCTATTGTGTTCTCCACTTTGGTTGACCACAGCAATCAACTCTCCCACTATACCCCATAGTTATTCAATGAAAGACTAGGCAATTTTATAACAATAAAGTTATGAAAATGATGATGAGTGGAGTCAAGACAGCATAGGAGTAAGAATATATGAATGACAGTTGTTGACTATTAGTGGGATTTTCTCTTCTTGTTAATTCCTCTCAGGGGTTTGTTTATTTTAAGTTTCAACATTAAATAGGTAAGTAATCATTATGTTCACATTCAAAAATTCCTGGGCGTGGTCGGCTCCTCCTCTTTTAACAACATTTTATTTTGCTTATTTCACGCCATCTTGTGCCTTAAAATCAAAAGATTCCTGGGCTAAGTGCGTACTCAAATCTGTCAATTTATAAACAATATTTATGGGACTGCACCCAACACAACAATGGCAGTGATAAATATAAAATAATGCTAATTGAATCCACCACTTATCAAGAGTTTAAACAAACCATAAACCACAACTTTTCAGGGGAAACCCATCACTTATCTAAAGAGATCTTTCAGTCTTGAAAATACTTGTCATTTTGTTCCTTAATAATTTATACATGAACGATCAAAAGCCATTCTTGACAAACTTTAGTTGATTATAATTGGCTGTTTTAACAATTATAAAAATGAGATGATGATAGCCTTTTCAATTTACCATCATTGCTGCTGCTTTCTTCCTCATTGGGTCCATCTCCAAGGGCCACAGCAATCTCCATGAATTAATGGGATCTTGTCTAATCACAAGCTCCATTGCTTAATTAAAATAACTGTTTTTTGTTGGTGAGCAGATGGAGCTGTGATATAAAATTATGTGCAAGTTTCAGTTCCTTTTCTTGATATAAATTGGATATAAGTCTAAAGTCCTGGGAGAGTTTGGAGACAAAGATGAATGATTTTCTCCTAGTAAAAGCATTCAGGGTCAGCAGGCCATTGCCAGCGCCAAGATTGGTGAGCATCAGGCCTTGATTTGCGCCTTGGATATATGCTGCAAACATAAAGTGCAACTGAGTTAGTCGAGTCCATATATTTAAATATTCAAACTCGACTCGTCAGCAATATTTTGAGTTAACCCGAATCAATAGGTTAACTAGGTAATCACATCACATGACATGTAGTTAAACGTGAACACTAACTTATAAAAGCCTCATATGTGGTATAAAAATAAAAATTATACTGCTTGTGTTTTCTCATGTGAGCCTATGAGCCCTAGGAAAGGGAACTCACATGCTTTACACATCGACTCAACTCATCCGGATGGATTACTCATGCCTTATGATTGAACAAGTATTCTTACCAAATGAAATCTGTTGAAATATTGGAAGATAGTCAACTATCGTTGTAATTGTTTTTGTGATTCTTTCTTATTCTAAAGATAACTTAGCTGTATATTAGGTGTAGACAAACTTATTATGAGAAAAGCTTGATTATAGGAATAGAGAAAAACTTGATTGTATCAACAGTAGCTTGATTATAGGATCTATACATTTGACCCATGTCTATATATAGACTATACACATTCATTGAGTAAAGACACCAACAAAATATTTTTTTCATACTCTGATTTTTCAACTTGGTATCAGAGCCTATGCACACCACCTTAAGCAAATTTGTTCAATTCCAAAATTCATCTTCCAATGCAAGAATTGTACTCAATGAGACAAATTATGATGTATGGTCTCAAATAATGGAAATGCATATTGTTGAGAAAGAGAAACTCTCTTTTATTCGTGGAGAAACGAAATTATGTGTCGAAAAATATAATGGATATAAAAAGTGGTATAAAAACAATCAAAAGGTCAAGAGATGGCTATTGATGTCTATGTCTCTAGAAATTATGCAACGATATATTCACTTACCCATTGCTCGTGATATTTGGAAAGCCCTTTCCAAAGCTTTTTATGATGGAGTAGATAAGTTATAAGTTTTTGCTCTAAATCAGAAAACTTTTTCTGTTAATCAAAATGGCAGAGCATTCTTTATGTATTATAGAGAAGTAATCGAAATCTTTAGTGAGTTGGATCACCGTGATAAGGAGATTATGGAGAGTGAGAAAAAAGTTGAATCTTATCAAAAATCAATTTAGTGACAAAAGGTGTAAATTTTTCTTACAGGATTAGACAGTGAATTTGAACAAATCCATGGTGAAATTTTGAGAAATGAACCTATTCCTAAATTAGAAGAATGTTATGCACTAGTCCACCGTGAATCTGTTCGATGCACAACAATAAATGGAGACTTTGAAAAATCTAAAACTTCATCATGGTGGCTTGAAACTGACCTCTTTAAAACCAGTAGAATAAAAAAAAAGTCCACCTATCATAAGACCATTAATGATTCCAACAAATCCACCTACAAATGCATTCATTGTGATGAAACTGGTCATACTAAAAGTAGATGTTGCAAAATCATGGGGTATCTTGAATGGTGGGATCATAGTAGTGATTTACGAAAGAAGAATTCTAAGAAGATCTTTACTGCTACAATGGTTGAAACAAAGGCAGAGGATGAGGTTACTAAAACGGCCTCGGCATTGGCATCACTTACAAGTAATGGTGGTAAAGTTTTAAATACATCTACACCTATTTCTAATAGTACATGGATAATTGATTCTAGTGCTACAGTTCATATGACATTTGATTTTAGATAAGTCTTAACTCTTAAACCATCCTCACAAATATCTGTTTCCATAGCCAATGGTGCTTCGACCTCGGTTATTGGGGAAAGATCCTTGTCCCTCACTGATACTTTGAATTTTAAATTTGTTTTAGTTGTTCCATCCTTGAACTATAATCTTTTGTCAGTTTCTCAACTAACTACCACCTTATTTTGTGTTGTAATTTTTTGACTTTATTTTTATGTGTTTAAGGACATCCAAATGAGGTAGACGATTGATTGTGGTATTAGGTGAAGGAAGTTGTATTACCTCGACTTGGTGTCAAAGAGTATGGACAAATTGGGTCAAGCTTTGAAGGTGGATGGCCACGAAAGAGAGAAGAAAAGATATGACATTTGGTTATGGCATTGACATTTGGGGTATACTTCTTTTGATTATCTCAAGAAGTTATTTTCTAGTTTATTTGTAAAATTTGATGTTGCTAGTTTCAAGTGTGACGTTTGTGAACTTGCAAAGAGCCATCGTGCTTTGTTTCCATTAACTTTGAATAAAAGTCTAGTTCCTTTTATTATCATACATTTTGATGTCTAGGGCCCATCCAAAATCACTACCTTAGGTGAATCACATTGGTTTGTTATTTTTATTGACGATTGTACCAAAATGACCTAGGTGTTCTTGATAAAGTTTAAAGGCAAAATGGATTTGTTATTTTAAAATTTTCATAAAATGGTTCATACTCAGTACAATGCACATGTTCAAGTTCTCCGCAGTGACAATCAAAGAAAATATCAGAGCATTGAATTGGGGCAATATTTGGAAGCACATAGAATTATTCATTAAACTACTTGTACTGATATACCATAGCAAAATGAGGTAGCTAAATGAAAAAATCATCACTTATTGGACGTTGTTCGTCCTTCATTGATAGAAGCTCATATCATTATCTTATTGGGGTGAAGCATTAATTTTTGAAACATATTTGACCAATTGAGTATCCTTAAGCACTATTGATTTACAGACATCATCGCAAGCTCTTGCTAAAGTAGTAGTTGCCCCAACTGTCCCAAACTCACCTCCGCATGTATGTGGTTGTGTAGCATTTGTACACCTTCATGAGCATCAATGCAACTAGTTGGCACCTCAAGCATTGTGATGTGTTTTTCTAGGGTACGTTACTCATCAAAATGGGTACCAATGTAATCATCCTCCCACACAACATTTATTACTTTGGATGTAGTTTTTCGTGAAGACTCAATGTATTTTGCATCTGAGTCTAAGCTTCAAGGGGAGTGCTAGGAGGAAGTTCAAACTCTAGACTGTAATGTTCACTTTTCTAAAAAAAGGGAACTCCCTGAACATGGTAACCAAAATGTAGGTAACTTGGACTTAAATGGTATAAATTTGGACCAAAGTGGTGACGCACACCTAGAAACTAAAGTGGTGGTTTCATCTCCATCCGAGTTTCTTGCACCATAAGAAGTTGATACACCAAACCAATCACTTGCGAAAGATGTCCCTGATTTAATGTTTAAACTAATTAAGAA